TGCCGAGTACGAGGAGAGCGTAAAAATAAATTGCATGATATGAGTTTAAGGTTATGTATAAATAGTTTTTTGGCGTTTATCTACGATATTTTTGACTTGTGCTTTCTATTTTTCCCCTGCAGAAACGAAGAAGGTAGGGCTTTTCAAACAAAAAATATAATTATCTAGGTTCATATTTATCACGAAGAGGTAAAAACGTTCAAGCCATGAATATTGTATGCCCTGTAGCAGACACGCCTATGTTCGTTTCAACTAAACTTATATGGTAACCGCGCAACATCAGTAAGCGCTCTTAGTTGACTTTGTCGGATGTAAGTAGGCTTCGAGATTATCAGTAATTAATAAATAAGATCGGATAAACCCAAATTGTACACATTAAATAAATATTTACATCGCTATCAATTGCAATGTGAAATTACTTTTTTTTGTCTACATTGCCACCTAAAATGGCTCCCCTGCAGAAACGAAGAAGGTAGGGCTTTTTAAACTAAAAAATATAATTATCTCGGTTCATATTTATCAAGAAAAGGTAAAAACGTTGGAGCCTGGCATATTGTATACCATGTAGCAGAGGCTAACATCTTACTCAAGCATCTCGTGTCAAATCGAATTCTACGTCCACAAAAGTATCTCGAGGTCATAAAGAGATGATGACGCATAAAAATCTTTTGTAAAATGAGCAAAATTTGGTAATTGGAACTGGATAATTTCTATGAATTATTCGCATAAAAAATGCGGATTAAACTAAATGCTAGTCAAAATTATCAAGGTGAGGATTTTGTGGCCCCTATTTTTACCGCAGTATTCTTTCGCATTGTCCTAGCAGGTGGATGCATCATGAAAAAAGAAGGATAGATACCCTTGTCCTTTATAAGAAAGTTGGCCAGGAAAAATAACAAATGTGTCTGATTTCAAATGCCTTAGACTGCGAACAAATCGCGGAAAGGAGAGCAAATAAATCTTAAGGGCTGGTCATTCGTGACAAATTCGATTTAGTGTATAAAGAGTACATAAGTTAGTGAAAGATTAAGGAATTCATAAAAAGCAAAGTTAAACAGATAACCCCTTCAATATACTGATAATTTGTATGAAATTTAGGGGAAACTATTTTATGCCAGAGACAGAGATTGTGAATGGAAATATGCGAAGCTAAGGAATAGGTAGTTTTACGAGGACTGAAGGGGAGATACCACAGTTATTTACCAGTAAATTGTCTCCTTGTCTCTTTTAAAGGCTGTAGGCTTAGGCTTAAGAATGGAAAGGCTCATGAATGTAGCCGAATGAGATGCTAGCGAGATGCCTAGGAATTTTACCAAGTCTATTTTATAAAGCTATGGATTATTATGGGGACAAAAGCATATGTTTTATGACGGAGCGCGTGTATTTACGTCGCCTTGGCAAGAAGACTAAGATGAGAAAACGAGGCCAAAACACGTATATAGAAGAGATGTGACGGTAGTGCGAGTTTTATGGCAATGCTCATGGTGAATGTGAGATCTGAGAGCCATGATTAGCCTCTGAGCTTATACACTCTACTCCTCTCACTAGCTAGTTCGTCCTGTTACATCCTTATTATTCTATCCTATAACCAGAGGTATTAACTGCATGATTTCCTAAAAAAATTAATTTCATTCAGGATAGGGGTTGTCCTACTTGTAGATAAAACGATCAAGCTGGTGTTGCTTCTGTCTTAGTGGCAGTCTACTTTTACATAATAAAAGTAGCTCTATCTAGATTTTGTAATGTATAGTGTTGACATGGGGAATTTAAAGAAATTGCCTTCTTCAGCTTCGTTTATCAGGGTGATCGCGAGAATTTCCAATGCCCGATAATGGATTTGGTGCATTCTGAGGCGTTTAACCGTCAGCATAGTCGGCATCATTTTGTCATCCTTGGCACCAAGTTAAAATTGACAGATTTAACCAATTCCAAGTTATGAAATTAGAGCATATCACGATTACTATGCCAGCAAATTCTAAGCAAGATGCGTTCATTTAGGCCACCTTGAGAATACGAATAAGTTGTGAAACATAGCTCATTTCAATCTTATGTGAGTCCTATTGCCAATTTATGTTGGCTTTTAATGGTCTATCTTGTTCTTTTCCCACTCAACCATACTTGCAGCAATTTCCAAATACTCAATAAGCACAAAGAGAGCTTATAAACACTTCTCATTCGGACTATCTGTCGTGTGGACCAATCACTACACGTCGGTAGTGCTGGGACTCCTATTGTATCTGTGGAATTGTGTTCCATAGTAAGGAACGAATTAGTCCCTTGAAAACAATCAGAATCAGACATTCACTTCAGTATACTTATTAAGTAGGTCAAACTCTAAACTTAACTGATTTCCCCACGACTTAAGCCTTTGTGCCACGATTGGCTCTGTCTCCTGAGATTCGCCATTGCCCACCATCCTTGTCTCACAATCAAGTATGCCCCGTAAGAATCGCCTATTTTCGTTTCAACTAAACTTATATGTTGGCAGCCCAAATTCAGTAAGCACTCTTAGTTGACTTTGTCGGATGTAAGTAGGCTTCGAGATTATCAGTAATTAATAAATAAGATCGGATAAACCCAAAATTGTACACATTAAATAAATATTTACATCGCTATCAATTGCAATGTAAAATTACATTTTTTTCGTCTACATTCCCACTTAAAATGACTCATGAGAGGCATCGCTTGTCTCCGTGTCAACTCTAGTCAAATCTACTCATCTCTATTTAATTCTACTCAACTCTACTCATACATCAACCAGCATCCACCTGAGGCGTTACCGACTAAACGCAAAACCGAATGGCAACTGGATCAAGACTAAGAGGCTTTAAATTCTCCAATGAAGATGCATCTTGTCATGGTGCATATTTGAGGCGCGAAAAGGTGAAGCACAAGGTATACAGCGTATAGAGGAGCGGCACCCAATGTTCTTTTTTTCGGAGAACATAAAGCCAAATAATGCAAATCTTCGAGATTTATAAACTTCCAATAAGGGATTCTTGTAAATTCGTAAAGCTATTAGATGAATAGATAATAGAAAGGATATGCCCTTAAGTTTTGATTTAATGCCGAGGAACGCTAATATTCCGCATGATGGGATAACACAGCCTTAGTGAAAAACAAAAAATAAGCATTCAGAGATTTTAATCGACACAAATTAATTTGCGGGTGCCAAACATGATATTAACGAATTAAGTCATGCGCTGTGACTCATCTCATCTCACCTCATCTGATCTAGGCTCATCTTTTTTCATCTGAACTAATATCATCACATCTCATCTCTTTTCATATTATCGCATCTCATATCAACTCATCTCATCTGATCTACTCTCATATCTTCTCATCTCGTCTCAACCCATCTCATCACCATTTCGTTTATGTATATCACATTGAGCCTGGATCAGATCATCGAGACAATGAGCGTCTTGAATAGATTTATTCACTATCTTGGGAAGCCAATCCACGGCCAACGCAAGCAGGTTCTCCTTAGTGATGTAAGCAAGTTCATCAAGGCATTCTGTCTTGGATAGGAGCTGGTCGCAGGCAGAGGTGGTAGAGTTCACCGTCTTGAGAAGTTGTTTTGACTGATGTACCAAAATTGGTTCTTTGGCAGCGTACGCTCGTCTCAAATGGCGTTCTTCTCCGAGACGAAGACGAGTTCGTCCAAAGTGCCCGCCAATTCTCTACTAAAAATATATAACAGTCATTTCGTATAGTTATATCCAGACACTTACTTAAGAGGATATGATAAAAATAAAGGACATTAGCTACTCATAGTATGATATTTTACTAAATTCAGATTATTTAAGACAACCAGTTTAGTCTGAAAATAGGATGCATTAAGCAAAATAAAGAAAGAAAACTTTATAACGAAGAGCTCAGTATACCTGATGCGTGAGCTGATTTTGCATCAAATTAAAATTTAGTTCGTCGATAAAGATACCAGTTTTTGTTCTGGTAGCATCTAAGTCCCGACGAAGACGCTCAAGCTCCTCATTGTAGCTCTACACCATTTCCTTCCTGCTTAAGCAGGTGTTGACTTCGGGCCTATTTTGTATATTTTTTGCATGATGAGCGTAATCCGAAGTGGATAAAGTTTCGTCGAGACTCAGATTACTGGGACTAATAGTCGCTATTATCGAAGTTTTAGTTCGACCACCAAGATAATCCTAAAAAAAGAATTAAGTATGATAACGACACAAATGAAGT